CTACCAAAGACAGACAAGTGATAGTATACTGCGCCTCGAGCGGGTTGAGAGAGATGTCCTTGGCCCACTCGACCGGCAGCTTGCCAAACAGCTTGGGGAAGACGAAGCCCACCGTCGCGAGCATCGCCTGCCGCCCGTGCATCAGCTCCGCCTCGCGCACCTGCGCCGCGCCAGGCGGGCGGCGTCGCTGCGCGCTGCCCGCCGAGGGCAATAGACGGGCGGCGTCGCTGCGCGCTGCCCGCCGAGGGCAAACCGCAGAGCGACCGACTTGGGCGGCGCCGCGGGAGGACGCGTGCCCGCAGACGCATCCTCACGGGAGCAGTTCGACCGCTGCGGTCCAGGCTTCGAATCGCGGGTGGATGGGGAAGCACGCCGGCTGGGCGCGGCGCCTGGCGCCGGCAGCGGGGCTAGGGCTAGGAGGGCGCGGCCCGCACATAGCGGAGATCGCCGCCGAGCTCGATGATCGTGGTCGAGATGCCGAGCGGATCGAAACCGACATCGCCAACCATCGAGCCGTCCAGCGCAGGCGGCTTCTTCAAGAAGGGAATGGACGCTGAGCGCTCCACAGCCATCGCCGGCGTGCCGGCGCGCATGGCGACGCCCGGCGCGGACGCGCCAGCGAGCGAGAGCGGAGATCCGACGAGAGACAACATCTGGGCAGAGGTGGGGTGGTCTGGTCTGGAGGGAAGAGGGGCGGGAGGCCGATGCGGCGCTGCACCTCGCCTTATTACAATTTGTGCTCCGTCTGAGAAAAAGAATTTTCTCACGCCGCACACAACACTGGGCACGGGAATTTGGCTCTCTGCCGGCGCCATCCGCTCCAGCGCCGCCCTCCCCTGCCCCGCCAGCGCCCCCCGCAGCAGCCCAAAACAGCCTTGTTGCACTCGGTCAGGCCAACCTCCCGCTCCAGCTCGCCAAGGATCTGCTCCGTGTCCTTTGGGTTGCGGCACTCCGCCTTGCGCACATCCACCTCGCGATCGAGTCAAAGTCCTCCACGAGCGCCGTCTCAAAGGCTGCCTGCTGCTCCGCACTCATCACCACCTCGAAGCGAGCGCCCGACTCCTGCGTGTGGAACACCTCCTTGATGATGCAGTACGCGCGCCCCAGCGGCTCTGGCTCTGGGTCGTACCACGGCTCCATGAGCAGCACCGTGTGGCCGACGGCGCGGACGCAGTCGCCGAGCCGATCGACGTCAGCCTTCACATCGTCGCCGTGTTGGCGGATCACAAAGTCGCAGACCAAGAACTTGGTGTCGGGCGGCAGCTCTGGGTGGAGCCGCAGGTCCTGCCGCAGGGCGTCCACCAGCGTCTTGAGCGGCGTCTCGAGGAACCAGCTCACAAAGATGGTGGCGACGCCCACGCCAGGGTCGTCGCCGCACTCGTATAGCGTCTCGCAGTACGCCTTGCCTCCGTCCGCCTTGCTCTGCCTCGCGATGTGCCACTGGTTGACGTAGCCGTTGGCGTTCACGTTGGCAGGAAATTTGGGCTTGCCACCTTTGCGCGGGATGGCTCGGTTGCACTGCTCGACGGCGTCGGCGGGGAGAGCGGAGAGGCTCAGCCACGCGCTGGACCGGCAGCGGAGGTGGCAGTGCGTCGACCCGTCCGACCGCAAGGCGTGGCAGGACAACCGCTGCGGCCACCCCGGAGACCCAAAGAGCGGGCGCGACCACAGAGCTGTGCTCGAGCTGCCGGCCAACCTCGACCAGCTCGCGCCCGAGGCGCAGTGCGGCTGGGTGAACCGGCAGTACAGGGTCGCTGCTAGCCAGGAGACCCGGGTCAACACACACACGCCCCGCTCCTACTTCGCGCACCGACGCGCAAACTCTCCAAGTGCACCCAACCAAGATAGAGGGCCCGACCGAGCCGCGCTCCGCCCACGCCTTCAGGAAGCTGGCGCGCGTGTGGCACCCCGACCGGTACAAGGGCGTCAAGGCGAGAGCGGAGCGGAAGATGCGCGAGTGCGCAGAGGCGAAGGAGGTGCTCGTGAGGCAGCTGCGGTGCAGTGAGCACAAGGGGAGGTAGCGCCTTCGTCGGAGGTAGGGGCACTCATCTCAACTGTGTGTTTGAACTTCCCCGCCGTGGCCGCCGAAAAAAAACAAAAAAGTGTTCGCGGTAAAAGGCAACTGCGGTTGGCACTTCGTCCCCCCGCCGGGAGGCGCTTTCAGGGTACGTGCGTCACAGGTCACACGCCCCCCGCCGGGAGCTTTTAGGGCTAGTTGTAGGGTGCGTGCGTGGTGCGTCACACGCCCCAGACGACTCACACTCAGTCGCTCAGCATCTGGTGAATCTCCTCGGCACCGCTCTGGCGTGCCCACATGCGCGCACTCTCGCCCTTGGCGTTACCGATGGCGGGTTGTGCGCCGTGCGCGAGCAAGCTCTCCACGGTCAGCTTGTGGCGGAAGGCGTTGTAGGGCATGGTGGGCGGAGGTCGGAGCGGCCCGTGCATGCATGCGAACATCAGCGCGGTGCTGCCCGTCGTGGTCGCGGGCACGTCGGGCGTCGCGCCGTGCGCGAGGAGAAGCTGCACGACCTCGGCTTGGGCCCACAGGCATGCGCGCATGAGCGGAGTCCAGCCTGCCAGGGCGCGGAACGGCGGCGGCGTGCGTGGGGAGGGCGGCAGCGGGCGTGAGGCCGAGTGTGCGCGGGCTCACCGTCGGCGTCGAGGAGATCGGGGTCGGTGCCTTGGCTGAGGTAGAATTCGGCGCGCTCCGCCCGCCCTTCGATGGCCGCGATATGCAGCGGGTGGAAGCCGTCCGTCGCATCGGCCGGGGCGACGGTAGGCAGCGGCATCTTGCTCAGGTTCTGCGGCTTGAGCTTGACATCGTCTAGGGCGCAGAAGCCAACCTCCGGTCGGCGCACGCGGACGCAGCAGCGGCCGCTGACCGGGTCCACGGGCAGGAGCACGGTCGCGAGAGCCTCGTTGAGCTCCGGCCGTCCGACCAGGCCGCTCACCATCACCCGGTCCTGCGGCTGCAGTGGCTGGCTGTCGTCTGCTTCTTTGGCCTGGGCGGCGGCTCGCCACGGCGCAGAACGACTGGCGACGATCTCGGCGTAGTCGTCCTCCTCGTCCTCCTCGCCCACGTCGTCGGCGGCGGCGCTCGTCCACCACGCTGGGTCCTCGCCGAGAGCACGTGCCAGCGCCTGCCATGCGTGGCGGCCACCGACATCGTGCCACTCTGGCCCGGGATGGCGACACCGGCGTGTCATCACCCTCATGGCCGCCGACGGCCCCTGCTCCTGGCACGAATTAGCGTATACAACCTCGGCGGTCGCGCGCAGCGAACGGCCGCCGGTGAGGACGGCGAAGACGTTCTCTCTGCCCCACTTCTCCTTGGCGTCGGCCTTCTCGAAAGCATACGGCAGCAGCGTCTCGGCCACGCGCAGGAAGGCGGGCCAGTCCCAGCCCACCGGCACGACGTCGTGACGCACGGCCAGCTTGCAAAAGACCATGAAATCCGTCGTGATGGAGCTGTCTTCGCCCGCCTGCTTGCCGTAGAGCCCTGCGCGCGCCGGCGAGAGGAGGTTGAGGCGGTGCGGTGGAGGGTGCGGGCAGCCGGGTCCGTGTACAGTGATGCGCACCGCGCAATTGTCCACCGCCCCAGCACATGTCGTCGTCCACGCGCATGCGATAGCAGTCGAGGAGCCACTCGTGCTGCTGCGCGACGCCCAAGCCGTGCGCCCACGCCGTCGCCTGGAGGCCCATGTCATGCATCTGGCCGCCCATGGTCTCGCCCCTGATCGGGCGCTCGTGGGAAGCGCGGCGCCGCCGCGTTAGGCACGTCGGGAGGCGGTGGACCACCGCCACCTAGCGCGCCGGCGAAGCCCGCGGCAAAAGCATTGTTGCGCGCGGCCTCCTTGCGCTTCGCCTCCTTCTTTGCCTCGCGCAGCTTCGCCTCCAGCGGCCGCAGCAACGCCGCCGCCGCCGCCGCCTGCGTGGCGTCGCCACCGCCCGTGACCTGCCGCAAGTCGTTTGCGGCGGCCTCCACCTCGCCGAGTCTCACGGCGGCCTTGGCGCGACGCACGAGGCTCTTGGCGTGCGTCGGCACGAGCGCCAGCGCGTCACTCGCCGCCGCGGCCGCCGCCTCCCACTGCTCGAGCTTGAGCCGGCACTCGGCCAAGTTGGAGCAGATCTTGGCCTTCTCCTCCCGCTGCTCGCCGGCCGCGCCGCCGCGCTCGCCATACGCGCCCAGCGCCCCCTCGTACTCGGCCGCCGCCGCGCCGAAGTCCTGGGCGACGAAGGCGGCGTTGCCCTTGGCCTTGCTCACGGCAGCCCGTGCATACTCATCGGCGTCGAGGCGTGCGACCGCGTCGCCAGGCGCGTCTGGGCTATTGAGCCTGCAAAAGCCCAGGCACTGCTGCACCGTCTCCGGCTCCAGGTTGATGTCGCAGAAGAGCGCAAGCGATCCTGCCCCGATTGCGCGCCTCGCCACCACCACGTCATAGTCCTCCACAGGGCCGGTCACAGACGAGGCGTCGGTGCGCGTCCCAACGTCGCGGCCGGCCATGAGCGGCACATGGCTCTGCGTGCGCGACTCGGGCGTCGTGCCGAACATGCGCTCGTGCTCGGGCACCCCGCGCACCGCGTGCGCCTTGGCGCTGAAGCCGTTCGAGGCCAGCGCCATCGGAAAGGCCGCGGCGACAGCGCTGGCGTTCTCCCGCGATGGTCCCCACACCGTGCGGTAGTAGCCGCCCGAGGTCCAAGCGACGCCAAAGAGGCGTCGCAGCATCGGCAGCACCATCGCCGAGTCGGCCGTCGTCACGGCGACTGCGCCGCCACCCTCGGCAAAGCGCAGGAGCGTGGGCCCGAGCTCACGCTCCACGGCCGGGATGGCCCGCGAGTCCTCAGACAAGTCGGAGAGGATGAGCGCGTGGAAGCGTCCAGACGAGATGGCTCGCCGGCAGAGCTCGAGCCGGTCGGGGCGCTCGCCACCCTCCAGGCCAATGCGCTCGTGGTGCAGCCCGCGCCATGCTGTCTTGACGGCTCGGCGCTGCTCGGCGGGCAGAGGCGGGGTGATCAGTGTTGGGGACGACTCCCTCTCAATCAGCAGGAGGTGCTCGCTCATGAAATCGCTGCTCACACCAGTGCCGTCCACGACGAGGACGTTCTTCACGCCAGCCTTCACAGCAAGAGCGCCGGTCCCGAAGACAGCCCGTGTGCGGCGCTCCTTGGCTGCCCGATCAGCGGCGCGTTGGCGCTCCTCGGCCGCGGAGCCCACGCGCCGGCCTTCGGCGCGCGCCGCGTCAAGAGCGTTGGCCGACTCTGCGGCAGTCATGCCCTCGTCCATGAGCCGACGCTGGTCATGCGCGTTCTGCGCTCCTCGCCACATATATCACACTGGTGTGCCGATATGTAACACGCTGGTTTTGGGTTCGGACTATTTGCATGGTATGGTACGATTGACACGATTTCCTGAAGTGGCGCGCCAAAGGGAGTGGTGCGCCCCCCCTCCGCCCCACCGCCGGCCTACTTGCTAGGCCCTAGGAGGCTGCAGACACTGACGACAGCGGCCGTCTTCCCGTACCATAACCGTTGCCTCACTGCCCCGGCGCCCGCGCCTCGATCTTCTTGGGCAGCAGCTGGTTCGACAAGTTCTCTCCGTGGCCTAGGATGCCGCTCTCGCCCTTGCCCCAGGTGAAGACGGCGCCGTTGGCGGCGAAGGCGAGGCTGTGATGCGTGCCCGCTGAAACAGCGACGACGCGCTGCCCAGCAAAGGCCTCGACCTTCTTCGGCAGCAGCTGGTCCTGCTGGTCGGCGAGGCCCAGCTTGCCAGCGTAGCCATCGCCCCAGCTAATGAGAGCGCCGTCGGCTGTAAGGGCGAGGCTGTGCTGCCACCCAGTCGATACGATCACGACGCGCTGCCCGACCAAGGCCTCGACCTTCTTGGGTTGCAGCTGCTCCTGCGTGTCGCCGTGGCCCAGGCGGCCGTAGTCTCCGCGGCCCCAGCTCCAGACAGCGCCGTCGGCGGTGAGGGCAAGGCTGTGGTTGCCTCCAGCCGAAACAGCGACGACGCGCTAGGTGGCAGCGCCTGGCCTTGGGCCTCCCGCCACCACCGCCGCCCATCCCGGCGAGCATCTCCTCGAGCCCGCCGTGCCCATCGAACGGGGTCTCGCCAAACGAGTTTTGCCGCTTGAAGCCGCCGGAAAAGAACTGCGCAAAGATGTCGGCCGGGTCTCCTCTAAACTCATAGCCCGCGCCGCCGCCGCCGCCGCCGTGCGCAAAGCTGCTCCCACCCTGGCCAAAGCCGCCAAAGTGGTGCGTGTCGCCGTCCGCGGCCGGCGGCGGAGGCCCGCCAGCCTTGAGCCCCTCCTCGCCATATCGGTCAAACACGGCGCGCTTGTCCGGGTCGGAGAGGACGTCGTATGCCTCGGCCACCTCCTTGAACCTCTCCTCCGCAGTCTTTTGCTCGCTCTCCGACTTGCCCGCCCATTTGTCGGGGTGCCCTTGATGAGAAAGGGCGTTGTGCCCTTGCCGATCCGCACCTACCTGGCTCTTGGGTCGCGCGCCGAATTTGCGGGAAAAAACTGCACGATCCTCTTGTCGGTGGCGCCATGTACGTGCCGATCACGGTCTCGCTGGCCCTGCTTCAGCCTCGCTCGCCAGCCCTCGCCTCGCCGCCGGCATGGACCGCTTCGCCTCGCATAGCTCGGCCGGCGGTCATGCTGGCCGCGCCGCGCGACGACAGCCCCTCCTCGCTCTTCTCGCCAGAGAGCTGGACTGAGAAGGGCTTCGACGGCGTCCAGCGGCTGCCTGCCGCCTGCCGCGCGGCGGAGGCGACGACGGCCGAGGCGGAGCACCTCGCGCTCGCCTTCCTCTCTCAGGACGCCGACTCCGTCGTCGCTCGCACCCTCTCCAAGGCAGGCTCCTCCGCGGCTTCGCTCAAGCGGCAGTTTGAAGACTTCAGCGCTCGGCAGCCCAAGGTGAAGGGCGCGGCGCCGGAGCAGCCGTCGGTCGGCGCGTCGCTGCTCGCGCTGGTGCGCGGCGCCAACAACGAGCGAGCCGCGCTCGGCGACGAGTTCCTCTCCGGTGACGCGGCCGGAAAAAATAGTTGGCCGCGTTGACCGGTGCGCCGGTCTCGGAAGCGCCATTAAAAGTTTTTTTCGCGATGGAGTAACGCCCGGTTCGCACATTCCCCATGCTTTCCGAACGCGACCGGCCACCTCACATCCCGCACGAGCAGCTCCCGGCGACCGTCGGCACGCTGAGCGTCGCGCTGGTCCGCTCCAACGAGAGCCTCCGGGCTGCCCACACGCTCCTCGCCCGGCTGCAGTCCGAGGCGGAGGCCGTCGACGCCGAGCGAACAGCCCTGAAATCCGAGGCGGCAAAGCTGCGATCCGCGCTGGTGGAGCGGCAGCGTGAGCTCGGCGCCGCGCACGCGCGCTCCTCCGCCGCGGTCGAGGCTGTCGCGGCCGCCGAAGGGCGCGCAACTCGCGCCGAGGCTGCGGCGGTGGCGGCGCAGCGAGCGTGCAGGCTCGAGGCAGATAGGGCGTGGACGGCGTCGGAGCGAGAGGCCTCCGCGGCGGCGGCGGCCGAAGAGCGGCACCAGCTCGCCGAGGCGGCCGCAGCCACGGCCCAAGCGGCGGCCGAGAAGCGGTGCCAAATCTCCGAGGCGGCGGCCGCCGCTGCCAACGTCGCGGCGGAGGAGCGCTGCCAGGCGGCCGAGGCGGCCGAGGCGGCCGCGGAGCGGCGCGGCACGGCGGCGGCGCTCTCGCTCGCGTCTGAGATGGCGGCGATGGAGGCGCGCGTGCAGGACATGGCGAGGACGATCGCGTCCGAACGCAGCAGCCTGAGCGGCTTCGCGCGCGCGGCCGACTCAGAGCTGAAGGAGGCACGGGCGAGGGCGGTGGAGGCGGCCGAGGCGGTGGGGGCGGCCGAGGCGGCAGCAAAGGACGCGGCGGCGGCGACGCGCGAGCGCGAGGCGGCGGCGGCGGCGCGGACGCGAGAGCGGGAGGCGGCCTTGGAGGCGGCGGTTGCGGAGGCCGTGGCCGAGCGTGAGGCGGCCGTCGCTGCGGCGAGGGCCGAGGCGGCGGCGGACAAGGAGGCGGCCCTCGAGGCGGCGAGGGCGGCGGCGGCGGCGGAGCGGGAGGCGGAAGTCACTGCGGCGGTGGCGGCGGCGGTGACTGCGGCTGCGGAGCAGCAGTACAGTGAGGCGGCGTCGGCAGAGGCGGCGCACGCGACGGCGCTAGAGGCGGCCGCTGCGAGGCACGCGCAGGAGCGGGAGGCGGCGGTGCGGGCGTGCGAGTCGAAGCTCGCGAGGTTGGAGGCCGTGGTGCATGAGCTCGAGGCGGCGAGGGACGCGGCGCTGCTCGAGCTCGAGGCGAGATCTCGCCGAGATTGAGCGAGATGTGGCCGAGAGAAGGCGCCGAGCGGGTCAGGTGGCGGGTCGTCCGGTCCCCTGCGTGGAGGCAGCCACACACGCTCAAGTCGCACACAAAAGCACAGCCCACGGCCCCGGTCGCAACCACACGGCAGTGGAGCGCGGGGCCGACAGAGTACGGCAGTCACGCGTGCAACGCCGGGTCCCAGGGAGGGCCAGCTTGCGTGCGAATCACCCGCCCCCCTTGACCGCGGCAGGAGCGGCACCGGGCAGCGCGGGAGGAGCAGCGAGCGCGCCTGCTGGCGAGGGGCGAGGCGCTCGCACAGCTCGTCGCGACGCGTCGCCACGGGCGCGCTCGCGCGGCGGCCTTTTGCGCATGGCGGCGCGCGTGCGTCGCTGCGACCCTGGCGACGGTGCGGCAAAAGGCGGACGAGGCGGCGGCGGAGGCGGAGAGGATGCGTGCGGCGTCGCTGGAAGCGGTCGCCGCCGAGCACAGGGCGGTGGCAGCTGCGGCGGCGGCTGCGGCGACTGCGGCCGGCGAGGCGGCGGCGGAGACGGCACGGGCGGAGGCGTTGGCGGAGAAGGAGGCGGCGCTAGAGGCAGTCAGGGTCGAGGCCGCGGCGGCCGTGGAGGCGGCAGTGGCGGGCGCGGCGGCTGAGGCGAGGGCGGCGGTGGAGGCGGCGAAGAGGGAGGCGGCGGAGGGGCGCGAGGCAGGCCTGGAAGCGGCTAGGGGGGCGGCAGCCGCGCTGGAGGCGGCACGGGAGGTGGCGTTGGTGGAGCGTGGGCGGGCGTTTTCTGCGGCGGCGGCGGCGGCGGCAGCGGAGTGTGAGCGCGCGCTGTCGTCCGCGGCGGACGCGGCGCTGGCCGAGAAAGAGATGGCGGTGGCTGCGGCGAGGGCCGAGGCGGCGGCGGAGCGGGAGCGGGCGCTGGCGGAGGCCGAGGCGGCGGCGGGAGCGGAGCGGGAGCGGGCGCTGGCTCGAGCAGCGGCTGAGGCGGCGGCAGAGCGCGAGCAGGCCCTCGCGACGGCCCTCGCGGAGGCGGCGGCGGCGGCGGCGGCGGAGCGCGAGCGGCTCCTCTCGGAGGCGGCGGCGGAGCGCGCGCAGCTGCTGACGGAGGCGCGGCGGAGGGCTCTGGTGGGCGCGCGCCGCGCTGCCGAGGCGGCGGCAGAGGAGACGGCCGCCACAGCCGCCAGAGAGGGGGCGGTCGGGGTCGCTGCCGCTGCTAGCGCCAGCGCCGCCGGGGAGGTCCTCCTCTCCTCTCCTCCCCTCCCCTCCCCTCCCCTCCCCTCCCCTCCCCTCTCCTCCCCTCTCCTCCTTTCTCTTGCTTCCCTCCCCTCCCCTCCTCACCTTTCCCCATTCCCCCCAAGCCCGCATCGCGCCGCCTCTCTGCGCCGCCCGCAGGTCCGCGTCGCTGCGCTCGCGCGGGAGCTCGCGCAGGAAGAGCTCGCGACCGGCCACCTCTCCGCGGTGACGGGCAGCCTCTTCAGTCTCCGTGCGGAGCTGAGCGCCGAGAAGGAGGCGGCGGCGGCGGCGGGGGCGAGGCAGGCGGCCGAAAAGGAAACCGCCGCCATCGGCGTGGCGTGGCCTTGCGGGCGGCCGCAGCCGGCGCGCGTGCGCGTGCTCTGCCGGCTGCGCCCGCCGGCCGATCCCGCGAGCAGGGCTGCCTTCGAGGCGCAGGGCGAGACGGGCGTGGTTTTGTGCGGCGGTCTCGCCGCCGCCGCCGCGCGGTTCAGAGCCGTGCGGCGGTGGGAGTTTGACCGAGTGTTTGCGGCGGGGGCGGGGCAGCGGGAGGTGTTTGAGCAAGTGAGGCCGATGGCGACGGCGGTCCTCGACGGCGTTGCCTGTTGCGTCCTTGCCTACGGCGCCTCCGGCGCGGGCAAGACATACACGCTCGCCGGGCGGGTCTCGGCTCGTGGCCTCCACTTCCACCTCTCGGAAGAGATCATGGCGCTCGCCGCCGTGCGCGAGGCGACGCACGAGCTCGCGGTGCGCGCGTCGCTCGTCGAGGTGCGCGAGGAGTGCGTCCTCGATCTGCTAGCCGACGACGGAGGGTCGCCGACGCGGCTGCCCCCGCACGGGCGACCTGACAAGCGCGACAGATCGCCGCCAGCTGTCGACGTGGCTGCAGACGTGGCTGCAACGTGGCGGCCCTGCCACCCGCTTGGCGCCCTCACCCACCTGGCGAGGGAGCGTCCGAGTCCCCCCCCCCCCCCCCTCTATCCCTCGCGCTAACCACTGGCCCCGCATCCTCTGGGCCTAGGTGAGGAGCGCGGGGGATGTCCTCGACGTGGCGACGATCGGCGACTGCCATCGCTCGCTTGGCAACAGCCTCACGCCGCCGAGTCCTCGCACCGCACCCGTCTCCCACATGGCGCCCCCCCCCCCTTTTTTATTACTTTTAATTTTCTCCCTCCCTTTATAATCTTCCATCTATAATTTCTTTACTCCTTACACCCCCATCTCCCTTACTTTTCTTCTCTTCCCCTCTTATTTACTCCCTTCTACTTCACACCACTCATCTTCTTCTACTCTTCTCTCCTCTTTTTATTCCTTTCCTTCCCTTTCCCCTTCCATCCCCCCTTTTTTCTTCCCTT